GACCGAGTGGAATGGCGACACGAGGGGATGATTCTCCGCGCTCACCTTGCATCTCGCGTTCCATCTCTTCTTCTTCTTATTTGGTGAGCGGAGCGTCCACGTATTCGTCTCCTCCCCATCCGCCGGTGTTGCCCCATCCTTCCGTGTTGACCGTGCCGCTGGCGCTGGCTCCCCATGCTCCAGTGGCGGATCCCCAGGTTGCGCCTTCTTCTGGTTCGTAATCCTCGTCTCCCCATGCGCCTCGTCGTGCTGACTCCTCGTCCCATCCAGCCGCGACGCGTTCCTCATAAAGTTTCTGTTTCTTTTCCGCCCGTTCCTTGTCTTGTTCTTCCTTGACGCTCAGCTCCTCTGCTGCGTCGGGATCCTTCCAGGCTGTGTCGATCTCCGTGCGGTAGACTTCGCGAGGGTAGGGGCGTGGGCGTCCCTCCTCGTCGTAGGTGCCGGTGTTAGCTCGTAAGATAAATCGGAGCGTCTCTGCATATGGTGTCGGTCGTTCGGCACGCAGTTGCCCAAAGTCGTCGTTTGGTTCGCCGAAGATGCGATGAGTTGTCACGGCAAGCTCTTCTTGTGTCATGCCCGTAGGTTCTGCCTCGGCACTCTCCGCTTCCTGAATTGCCGCGTACTCCTTTTCGACTTGGTCTGTGCGGCTCGCCGTGGGTGTGTGGCAGGTGGTGCAGAATCCATTGATGTCTGGGTCGTGCAGGTTGATTTCGCGGGGATGTGGACTGCGGCGAACCCATGGCCGTCCGTCTGGGTGCTCCCTTTTGCTCACGTAGGCGAACTCGAGAGGGACGAGGTCCACGAGCTCGTCAGATGAAGCTTGGCAGGAAGGTACGTCGAAGTCGAGGACGTAGATTCCGTTGATCGAGCGGGCTCGTCCGAGATATTTGAACGACTCTGGAGGTATCTGGGGGAGCGTATGTGAGGATGAGATCGCGTGTGGCGAGGTCCGTGGTGAGGATGACGCCGCAGTCGCGGAGTTGTCCTGCCGAGAGAAGATTGAAACGAAGATTTGGGACGTAGAGTACGTCGTTGAACAAAATGTGTGTGTTGCTGTCTCGTGCTTGCAGGACCACGATGCCTTGCGCATTGGCGCGCAGCTGCTCGTTGTTGGCGACGGTGACGTAAGTTGGGGGGGCGCGGCTCAGGTTCGAGACGTATCGCGTGGATCCCACCATGTGCTGTCCGCAGCAGCTGTCCAGGTACCAGGTGTTGTGGTTGTCAGTGTTGTTTCTGCGCGGAAGTAGCGCCAGTCGCGGAGTCACCAGGGTCGCCTTGTAGCGGCTATGGAAGAGAGGGTCTTCATTCTCCTTCCATCCCACCGGTACGTAGTGTTGATTGTCATGCAGCGGGCTTTCCCGCAAGGTGATTGGCTGGTTCCAATCCTGCTCGTCTTCGTCATACCGGTAATAGTGGTCTTCAGTGAGGGGATTATTCCAACCCTCTTCTGGTTCAAGGAGTCTCCCTTGAATCTCGTTTTCCTCGTCAGGTTCAGCAGTCCGACGTCGGCGCGTCGCCATATTTGCGATGATGTTTCTAGGAGCTCCTGATTGAGGTCCTTGAGCTTGCTGATGTTGATGTTGCGCAGGAGGACGAGGTGTATGATGCTGAGACTGAGGATGACGAGCATCTTGTCGGCCGACCCAGTTGTTGTGGTGAGTGGAATTTGGGTGGCGATAGTTGGATCGGGATTTGCATCGATCCGTTGAATGTCCGAAGACTTTGCATATTTTGCAATAGTGGCGCCTTGGTTGTCGTCGCTCTTCACGGTTGTCAGCGTAGAAGGCAAGGCGCTCTCGGCGCGGCGCTGAGCTTGTTCTGCTCGAATCCATGTCCTGCTGTTCAGTCAGGAGTGCGGCGCATAGCGCGGCTTCAGAGATGATTCCTCGCTGTCGGGGTAGCGCTTTGCAGGGCTTCCACTCTGGCCCGAGTCCTTGAAGGACTATATTGACGAAGATCTCTTCCGAGATTGCGCTCCCATGCTTCGTGATCTGGTCACGGATGTTGCGACAGCGGTTAATATAAGAATTCGCTTTCTCCCCGTGCCCCATCTTTGTCTCCATAAGTTGCTGCAGGAGCCTGCTGGCTGTAACCGAGTCCTTCGGTTGATAAACCTCAACGAGGTGCTTCCAGGCTTCCAAGGCTGGAGCGGCGCTCTCTTTGTAGGAGGGAATGCTTAGTTGCTCTGCAGGCGTCATGTTGCGTAGCAGAACGCTATACGCCATGAGGGACTCACTGTAGTACTGAGCCCTTGCGTCGTCGGTGTCGTACACCGGTTTAGCATAGGAGCGGTCGAAGTAATGGTAGATCTGCGCTGTATGTAGGAGGAGCTCAAGCTCAAAACTCCATGTATAGAAATCCTTGTCGTCGAAGGCGGCGGTAGTCTTTATTTTTGAAACGCTGAGGAAGCGTGCTTGCGCAGAGTTAATGACTTCATCACTTGGACGGGGGGCAGTTGTTGTTGATTTGTCTGTATCGAGGGAGAAGGTGTGCGCGGCGGTATCACGGCTTTTCGTTGCCGGTTGTCCAGGTTGAGCTGGATGGGAAGAGGTTCCCGCATCGCATTTGCGCAAATCTTGGAGTTCTTTCTCCATAGTTGAAAGTCGAGCGAATAACTGCTCGAGTGCGGCAGTGCCGATCGTAGTTGTCGCCTCATTTGTCGCAGTCGGGTTGGTTTGTCCTTCAGCCGTCAGATTAGCTTGGCCTCCGGATCCTCCGGCCATCTTGGTCTTGGAGCGTGTGCCGCTCGCCAGATCTTGGTTCGGCGAATTTCAAGGAATTGATGATGCGAATAATCCCTGAGTAGCTCTGATACCATGTTACAATCCCAAGTGGGACTTAGCGAAGGATCGCTCAGGGTTGATCGCAGAGTAGTGTTGCAGCGGAAGTTTGAATCTCAGGTCAGAGTGAATGTAAATGACTGAGTTGATAAAAGCATGCATACATCGGGTTTATATAAGAATACAAGGGAATACGAAAAGACCTAGGCTAGCCATGTACTCTAAGGGGTACATTCCCTTATTGCAGCGAAATTCAAACCGTGCGGCGCGGGAACCCGTTTCAAACATGTTCCCCCTCTTTTCACTTCAAATGTTTCTGCCTGCATCGGTTTTGGTCAGACGGTTGCTGCGTCGCTTCGACTCTTCTGACTCCTCGACTTCGTACTCGGTAGAGTCGGCTCCTGCAGCATACAGGAATGCCTACTCATGTAATTTCATATCGTAACAGAAACTCACGGCTCCCGCACGAATCCGTAATTCCGTGAATTCAGCCTACACTCTCGTTACAACGTTGATTGATCAGCGAACACTTGTTAAAAAACGCTGAAACTTCAGCCCTTACATAAAAAAAAAAAGCTGAAAAATCAGTCCATACATTAAAAAAAAAAGACTGGTGAATCAGCCAACACATTAGCGACATGTCTGGAAAATCAGCCTCTAGACCCTAATTCAACCTTTTTTCTCTGACATCTGAGGGCCTGATGCCCTTGTTTCAATTATCTCAGTCAATTTATATTCACTCTGACCTGAGTTCAATACTTCCTCTGCAAATCACTATGTGCGGACCTTACTGAGGTGATCCTAGGTACGATCAAGCTTCTGATCGCAACAAATTGCACTCGTAACAGTCGTACATAAGCGACACGCCCATGGATTCTTAGATATTGAGTTGTCTTAAAACACTTTAGATCATAAAACTTTTGGGCCCAACCACGCGGTGTAAACGGTAACTTCTGCCGGACCTACGGCTTCGTAGGTCGGCCCCGAACGAATCGACAGCGAAGAGTCCACGCAAAACGCGGAGCGTCCCCGCCACAGTGGCCTTGTTCTGTTGGCGCACAGGCCATTCGCAACTGCCGCACAGGTACTGCGGGCAGCGTTTTCCTCGAAAGAATAAAGGGCCTGCAGCCTCGTCGAAGGGCTTACTAATCGACAAAATTACGATTTTTTTTCTCCCATGTGTCCGAGAATTTGTTGCTACACACTGCCCTGGCACTCTTCCAAAGTCAAAATTTCGCGATTGATGCTCTGGATGTGTCAGATTTACTGGCTAGCCGTTGGATTGTTTTTGGGGTGAGTATTCCACCGAACAAATACCCCAAAACGGGCGTTTGGATCTGCCCGTTACTGGTTGTGCGCCTCTTCAATCCCCCCTCGACGAGCGCATAGAGCTCGCACAGGCCATGCGGGAAATTTGCCTGTGGAACCAAGCTCGTGGAATTTTCTCAGCGCACAGAGAGTACAGCGTTCTTGTGCACGCATGAGTAATGCGCGCACAACTCCCGCACCAGAGGTTCGGGAGACAATAACGAATTGGGAGGTTCGACGTGGGCTTTAAGCCTTGTTATGCGCGTTCCGAGAATGTTCATCGTTAGGGCTGAGCACCGCTTATGCGCCAACAGAACAGGGCCAGCGACACATGTTTACCCCCAGATTTCCATCACTCTCAAGCTAGTGTCTCTCATCAAGCAATCATCTCAGCAGTTCCATCTGTAGTCCGTTCAAGCAGTTCAGCCATAACCATCAGCGATCTTTTCTCCATTTCGCCACTACTTCGACACCATGGTCGAGTCTCGCATTCGCGTGCTGTCTGCTCGTGGACTCTGTAGCATCGCAGTCATTGCCATTATCTTCGTGGTCTTCCTATTCCCCCACCGCCGTTCCGATCCGCAATGGGCCAACGTAGGCCACGCATGGGGAGTCGACTGGTCAGCGTTAAATGCTCGCGGAACCTGCCACGTGGACTTGGCGCAATGCCACTCGGAGGCTACGTACTGGGTAAAGTCCGTCTCTTGAAAGCCCAATTATTGGTAGTTCACCTTGAAGCATCCCGGAATCTGGCGGACCTCGTACAATCTCTGAACATATGTAGCAACATGTATATGGTATCTATACAACGTTTGAGGATAGTGCGAGGACCGAAAGCCCTGAAGTGCATTGATGGTGGTTTTAGAAACGGTCTGACGCGGTTCTTGTCGCATCATTTTGTGGTGTTGGCAGGAGAATGTTCAACGGCGGAGCGTGAAGCTGAAGGGCGTGCTGCAGCCCATGGACCTGGGCACGCGCGGCACGAAGCTCTTCATCGTCAACCCCATGTACGCCTGCCCCTTCGAAGAGCGCCTCGGGGACTGGGGCGACGGCGGCAAGGTGAGAGCGTGAATGCTGGCTTGTTCTTGTAGACTTCGTCGCGCGTAAGACAGGGAATCGCGTCCCTCTTGTTCCCTGCACTCCCATGGCATGGCAATACCCCGGCGCTAGTCAGGTGGCGTGAAGAAATGAAGAAATGAATGCATCCGAGGTGTGCAGAGGCGCATATATGCTCACGTGTTCATCCGAAAAGATTACCCGGGAGTGCATCCGAGGTGTGCTGAAAGACTCGTGCGTGATACCTGGGCGGTCGCACAAACTCCGAACAATGCTGTGCATCTCCGCCCCATGTTCCGAAAACGGTGTAGCGAAATTTATATCGTAAATCGCTCGACTGAATCTCCCTAAGAAGTGTTGCGGCGAAAAGTTAGAGTCTCGCTCAAAGGTGAGTAGGGCGTGTACAGGGTTAAACAAAAAAACTTCCTTGTCTTGGCGTTGCTCCATTGTAGTTTAGCCCCTCATGTTACACTCATACGACACCAAGCTCCAAGGCTGGGGTGTAGGAGGAGAGATATCGCAGGCCTTATACCAGCTCCTCCACACGCCTGTGTGCGCATTCGTTCATATTTGAAAAGCGGATGCACGATCCTGGCCAACATATTTGCTGCCAATGCCCTTGTTCCATCTTTTCACTCACCCCTCGCCCTCGCTCTTTTTCCCCTGCCATTTCTCCCTCCTCCCCTTCCCCCCTCTCTTTCTTACCCTACCTTTCCCGAACGCCATCTTCCTCCACCCGCCGTGTCGCCCTGGCGCCCTGCGCACGTGCATGGCCACAGTGGACGTGCATGATACCGGGAATCTTCCAGCGCAACACCACGGTCTATAGGTGCGCTGCCCTTTCCTCACTGCTTGCCCAGCCAATCGCTCCATATCTGCTGCCGCCCTAGGCTGTCCTTCTATTGCACGGCCCCTTGAGTCTACACTTGTGCGTTTGCTCACTGCCATCTCTCACTCTTTGTCTCTCTTTACTCTCCCTCCGTCCCTCCCTCCCACCCACCCCCCTCCTTCCCTACCAAACTTGCTTCTCCACTCTTGGCCCTCCTCCTTTTCCAAGTCTCTCGCCTTTCTTCACACCCCTACTCGCTAACACTACTTGCATGTCTCTGCATGTGCATCGCTGCATGCAGCATTGGCAGCCGGGGCTCGTTTGACTTCGAGGAGCAGTTCGCGAGGGCGCACGCGAGCTCCATCTTCACATTCGATCCCTTCCTGAAGCCGGCGGTGGAGGAGCAGATGCGCGCGCTGCCCTTCCTGCACTTCCGCGCCATCGGGCTGTCAGGCGAGGCTGACGTGCAGACGTACCGGCGCAAGAACCCCACGAAGCTGTTTGTGACGCTGGCGCGCCTGCTGGCGCTGATGAACCACACGTACGTGGACGTGTTCAAGATCGACTGCGAGGGCTGCGAGCTGGAGGTGATCAAGGACATGACCGCCTCGTATGGCTCCCAGCCCGCCAAGCTCGCCATCCATGGAGGCGCCCTGCCGTTTGGGCAGATCCTCATGGAGTTCCACCAGTAAGTACCAACACTTGTGTCTACCCCCACCTCACTGTCTCTCTCTGCCCTCCCTCTCTCTCTCTCTCTCTCTCTCTCTCTCTCTCTCTCTCTCTCTCTCTCTCTCCCTCTCTCCCTCTCTCCCTCTCTCCCTCTCTCCCTCTCTCCCTCTCTCCCTCTCTCCCTCTCTCCCTCTCTCCCTCTCTCCCTCTCTCCCTCTCTCCCTCTCTCCCTCTCTCCCTCTCTCCCTCTCTCCCTCTCTCCCTCTCTCCCTCTCTCCCTCTCTCCCTCTCTCCCTCTCTCCCTCTCTCCCTCTCTCCCTCTCTCCCTCTCTCCCTCTCTCCCTCTCTCCCTCTCTCCCTCTCTCCCTCTCTCCCTCTCTCCCTCTCTCCCTCTCTCCCTCTCTCCCTCTCTCCCTCTCTCCCTCTCTCCCTCTCTCCCTCTCTCCCTCTCTCCCTCTCTCCCTCTCTCCCTCTCTCCCTCTCTCCCTCTCTCCCTCTCTCCCTCCCTCCCTACCCCTCACCCTGAATCTCTTGCTCTCTCTAACTCTTACGCTTCATCTCCTCTCTCGTCCATTGTCCTTCCTATAGTCTCTTGTCATTCGGCCGTTGGCTGTGCACATGTCATCCCCACGGAATCTTCCTCCCCTCACTTTGCAAAAGCATGTACCTATCATTTGTTTCCTGTGAATAGTCAGTCCGAAACATCATTCCCATGCCACCGTTCCCATCTTTCCTCTCCCATCGCCGTGTCTCCAGCCTACACAAGCCCGCACTTCTTCTCCCTGCACTGTACGCACTGGAAAATCTTGGGTATCGCATGTTCCATGCGGAGTTCAACGCAATCTGCCTGAACTGCGTGGAGATCAGCTTCATCCATGAAGGGCTTGTCAAGCCATCAAATCCTGATAGTTGCTCATTTCGAGAAGGGAATTGAGTGTACCAAAGAGAATTAACATGCGAAGGATACCTTTCTATGCATAGGATTTAGTTAGTGCACCCATATTTCTCTCCATACCATATTACCACATTATGACATGCTACCATAGGTGATTTAATGATAAAAACTGTTATGCGGTGGGTTGAGTTGATTGAGATCTTCTGCATTTCAGAGCAATTATTTCGTAAGGTACTTACATTGCGTTTGGATACGGGAGTAAGATTGAACATTGGGAAAGCTTGTTTCTTGTGGTACTGGTAGGAAACAAATGTTATCCTAGCCCTGGTGATTGAACCAAGTAGTAAATTTCGTTTCACTCCCTAACAACCGGGCTGGTTTCCCGCGGCTTCATCCCAGAAAATATTGGAAGGCACTTGCGATGCGCCTCGCCTGTCTAAGCCGTAGTCCGTGTCGCACTTTGGAAACTGCAGCGTTGGCTTGCGTTCATTGGTGCTCAGAATTGGTACTGTACGTCTGCAACCAACGTAAGGTTTTGGGGTTTTCTGTCAGAATTTGAGGGTCTGTTCCAGGTCTTCACTCATTCGCCTAGAAAAGAAGCCCCTCTGGGTTCCTCATTCCCACCACAACCCTTCTTCAGTGTGCGTGTTCCTATGACACCAACAACGGCGGTGTTCGCCAGCACACGGAAATTCGAAATGAAAACGATGGCGTCGGCATCGCGACCGCATCAGGAAACGGAGGCGGAACCCACCTCCGAGGTTTGGGCGTAATCCCACTCGAGAAACTTCTGCTCCCGAAACAGGAAATTACGCAACCGCATCAGGAACCTCCATCCCCACCTTCCCCCCAATGGCGCGAAAGTTTAGCGTCGCTGACCACAGCCTGCCCGCGGGCCAAAAGTGCTCGCGTTGGGTAAAAACGCAAATAAACAATAACCCTACTCAAACACAACCCCCGCCACCTCGTGCACAGGCCCACCGAAGGTGTGTTCGGGAGGGGAAGAATGGGGGGTGACGAACCCCCATTTGTCAAACAAGTTGCTCGTTCAGAGGTTCCCCTCTGAACGGCAATGCAATCGCTGTGCCATCGCTGTGCAATCGCTGTGCCATCGTGAAAGGGGGGATGGCGATGGCATAGCTTGGGGAGGGATATTTGCCTGGGGACGAAGTTGCGTCCCCGCTTCCATTGCCGTCGAGCAGTTCGAATTGGTCGAGAAATGGGGGCGTTCGCCAGACCCTTCCTGATGGTGACCCCGGCCCGGACCAGAGTCGCAGTGAAACACAGCACCAGATCATACGAACCATCTCAGAACCCAAATTCACAACCAGCCTGCCACAAGTCCAGCGCCTCGAGCCGAAAAACCCTCCGAGCCGCGTAGCGGCTCCCATCCATCCCTCCCATCTTGCTCGCAGCGAAATGTGCGCGTTCCACGATGGATGGCCCCGCCGACTGACGCAGGAGTTTAGTGACGTCGAGCAGGATTGTTCAAGCCATAGTCACATTAGTGCCGAATGTTCCGTTTATTTCCGCCTGTTTTGTGCGGCGGGAAGAAAGAGCCCGCTCTTGTGATAGGAAAGTCAAGGAGACGAAAATGAAAGTCAAAGCTGCAGGACCAGAAAACAATACGGAAGGAATGCGAGTTCACGAGTGGAATCAGCCTCCTTATCTCGCTTCTCAGAACTCCCCAATTTGATTTTCTCGTTACCATCCTCCGTCCAACGACTCAATCTGAGGCCGTCTCGGTCTGTGTAATCAAGGCTTGGCCAGTACACCGTGACGCTTTGCTTACCAGCTTCCATCGAGGTCGAGAGACGTCCTTGGGCCAAATGCCACCGTAGCTGTTTGACTGTCGAGAACAACGGCGTCAGGCTCACGAAGCTCGTGAACTTCGCGAGTAGCCACTCTCGATCCAGCAACTTCCCACTTCATCCGCAGGAACTTTCATGTCCGTACCCTCTTCCCTTGCTGCAGATACACGTCGAAACCAGCTCCTGAGACATCTGGAAAAAAATAGCATTTACTCCTCGTCAGCACGAACCCTTCTCCTTTGCTTTCTCGCTTGTAGAGGATAGCTGTCCAATAGCTCGCTGCGTGCGCGCCCAGCTGACACCACGAACATCCCGGCTAACACCCCGCAGAGCGTCAAGCATTATCTTGTGCCCGATACTCGGACACCTTGGCAATCGTGATATCAGCACCACTCACGCGCAGAAAACAAACAAAGTTTCAGTTTTTTCGAAGGTCATCGCCGTACAGAGGAATGGCAGCACCAACAACAACGCGCGGCCGGCATTGCTGCGTGCTGTCGAGACGACCATCCTATCAACCACTGGCGTCGCCGCTGGTGGTAACCATGCTCGCGATGGCCACGGCGATGCTGGCCGTATCAATGCCAAGGGCAGTTGGGATTGATTCTATTACTAGTGCAAGTACGAGCCAAGGGAAAGCTCCCCCGACTTCGACAGTTCATGAAACAATAGCGGTTCCTACTCTGACAGCGACGCCACGAGCACGTACGTATCGAGGAGAGCTATGCACTTCCCTTTCCCTCAACCTCCGTATTCCCCGTTTCTTTGCCACATTCTTTCCAATTCTTCTCCCTTGTTCCAACCACCCTATACCCTGAAGCAAACGCAACCGAATCTCCACCGATCCCCGTCCCTTGCAGCCAAATGCGACTATACGGCGGGCAGGTGGATATACGCCGCGGATTACCCGCACTACTCCGGCAACCCCGCCAAGACCAATTTTTGCCCGTTCATCCGGTCGTCGTACAACTGCGAGCGCAACGGGCGGCCGGACTCGCTGTACCGGCAGCTGAAATGGAAGGCAAAGGGGTGTGACATGGAATACTTCGACGCCAATGGATTCGCTAAAATGATGAAAAACAAGGTGCGGCGCGCGGCTGGGCTTGGGGTGAGGAGCACAAGAATGGTGGGGAAAAGGAGACAGGGTACCCCTTTGGGTTCCTTTGAATCCCGCCCCCCACCTATGGCAGCGCATGCGGAGGTTGAAGGAATATCATCATGGCTAACCTGCATGATCCGCTGCTGCTCCTTCCCCATCCCCCCCCTCTTCAATATCCTCCTCTTTCCGCGCTCGCGACCCCCTTCCCGAACCCCTCCCGCACGGCAGCGCATGCTACTGGTGGGCGATTCCATAATGGGCAACCTGTACGAGTCGCTGCTGTGCTCCATTCACACGGGCGGACACGAGGCAGAGGTACTGCGGTATGGTGGGAGCGGGATCAGGGGAGGCGTGGGTGAGCGCGCGTGCGGGAGAAAGTGACTTGGAGAGGCTTACGAAAGGGGCAAACGGAGAAGGGGTTGTTCAATGCTGTGTCTCCACGACGGCGTTTTCCCGTTTGAGCTCGAACGCGACGGCTAAACCCCGCATTGTTGCCAACGCACGCTTCAATAAGGCTGTTCCAATCGCTCCGCAAAAAACAATCTACCCACCTTCCTGTTGCTCCCGACGGCACCATCGCATTATCCTTCATTCGACTCCCACTCCCATGACTGCCAGTCTCTCTCACACCAACATCGCCCTCCGTTTCCTCGCCTATCCTCCTCTCACTTCTCCCCCCCGTCAACTCTTTCATTTCTTCCCTCTGGACTCCGTTGCACTCCTTCGTAACCCCTTCGACCCACAGAAAGGCCACAAGCCGCTGAACAGCGTGAAGGTGATGTTCTTCCCGACCTTCAACTTCAGCGTCGCCTACATCTTCTCGCCCTACCTCTTGGACGCCTTCCAGCAGCAGACCAACGGCGGCAAGCGCGGTGGCGCGCACGGCTACGTCGTGAACGTGACGTCAGTGCACCCCACGGTGGTGCGCCTGCTGCCCAATTATGACGTGGCGGTGTTTTCGTCCGGCACCTGGTGGTTGCAGAACGTGCCGGGAAGAAAGCAGCCGAATACTTTTATGGTGAATGGGGTGGTGCAGCAGAACATCACGAATATCGAGGCGTTTAGAACGGGGTTAAAAACCCTCGCGAATCACGTGAAGCAGTCGAATTTCTCGGGAATCCCGTTCTTCCTGACCTTCAATCCCAAGCACGGCTCCGTTATGCGCACAGCACGGGGTGACGGGGCATGTGGGGCAGTGCAACCCATCGGTCCGAAGGGCGCGTTCAAATGGTACGAGTCGATACGAACCGCGGAGGAGTATTTCAAGATGCAGCGGCGCGTGCTAACGAGCAGCAGCAACATGCGGGTTGTGAAGGTAACAAGGATGTCTGAGATGAGACCCGAGGGGCACCTGGGGATGTGGTGGCAGAAGAGGGATAATGTCACCGAAGCATTGGCAACGCCAGATTTGGGTGACTGCACGCACTGGTGCTTGCCCGGCGTGCCTGACGCGTGGCTCGATGTCATGTATGCTTACATGCGCTTAGAGCCTGCGCTCAATCCTGGCAGTTGAGAACTGAGACATGAGATTTTGGGTGGTTGATAGGAATCAGAGGATGTATGGTACCGTACCTAACGCCGTGTAGTTGGTGGGTGTGTGTGTAGGTGTAGGATCTGCTGGATCCTTCTACCTCCCAGTTTAGCGATGGGGTATACCTTTTCTCTATGGATTCAAGTCGGAGCACAATCAGAGGTTTGCTAGAGGTGTGGTGTAAGCTTGAAGTGGGGGTATGCATTGGAGCTGCAGGAGGCAAAGGTTTATCAATCAATTCAGAGTGGGGGATGAGGTACCCCACCCAATAGTGAGCTCCGACAAGGTTTCGGTCAACGTGGGCATTTTAGTAGGTGATTGATTGTGTACTAAGGAAACAGCTTTTCCTTACTTCGTGTCACAGCATGGCGCGTACACTACAGGACCAGGCCCTCAGATTGGTTTTAATACACTCTTTTTCGTCAGTGTTGTTGGCCCTAGAAAAAAAAAAAAACCTTTCTGTCACGGTCCGTAAAAAAAAAAAACCTGAAAAATCAGTGTTACAGGTGTTTAGCAAGAGTTGGGGTACAAGTACTAACCCTAGAAGTGCTGTACCCCATAAGGAGTGCCCCACTATAGCCTACAAGTAAGAATGTACTTTGACACACCCCCATAGGCTAAGTGGGGGACAACAAGACGGTCACAAGACCAGTCAAGCAAGACAACAGAGCAAAGCAAAGAAAAGCTCAGGGTGGATCTCAAGGACACCACACAATCCGAGCACAAACAAGCGGCCTCAAGGCCAGTTCACATGCAGAGTTATAATAGCAAGGCAGTACACTGATCACAACCTAGCAAGAGGAAACATGTAGGTATAAATATAGATATCAGTGTACAACAAGTGCAAGATCAAGAGACAGGCAGGTGAGGTAGAACGGGCAGAAGCCCAAGAGCAGTGCAAAAACGCTGAACATCACAAGACCTGAGGGCCTTGGTGAAGACATTAGCAGTGTTGGCCCGAGAGGCCACGAAATATAACATTCTGACACGAAATGCAACGTGCAGCACCACCCGAGGAGTAGTCATCTTCGGGGTGGGGGAGAAGGTCTGGAAGAAGTCGACCCCCTGTCGCTGACTGAAGCCTCGAGCAACGTAACGCGCCTTGAAGGCAGGCGGAGAACCCGACGGCCGCTTCACCCTGAAAATCCACATGCCATCGACTATGTTCGCCCCAGGAGGAGGAACATCGTCGACGTAGGTGCATGTGGACTTCCAGGAAGTCATCTCTGCGTCCATGGCTGTCTGCCACTGAGAGGAGTATTCACCCGCGATCGCCTCAGCGTAAGAGCGCGGGGTAGGGATGTCAAGTGCATCCGGGTCTCCCTCAGGGCAAAGCAACATGGATGCGAAACGAGGTAAAGCGGCCGCAAGACACTCAAGCTCAAACTGTCTGTCCTCAAGGACGTCACTGCTAAGGGCAGGCTCACCCCCGACGGACGGAGGACAGACAGACTCAGACTCAGTAACAAGACTCGCGACGTAGTCGAGACGACTCCTAGCTGCAAAGCCGACTAGCTCAGTGACTAGGGAAAACGCTGCAGTAGACTCAAAGTCAGGGTCATTGCCGACAGTAGCGAGGAGACGAGTGACAGTAGGACTGGCAGCACGAGCAAGGTCGGACTCAGGGTCAGGAACGTGCGGAAGAGAGGACACGGGAGGCTCAGGCAGGACAACACGCTGTGGAACAGAGGAAGGACGAAGTGCCATACCGTGAGTGCCTGGGACAGCAGGAGGACGAGGACGGGCGACACGACGAGCACGAACAGGTGTGGAAGCACGAGTCTCAGGCTCACGACACTCAGTCAGGAAATCAGTCACCTCAGTGTGAGGAGCAGGAGCAGGCATCGGGGAGCCAGGCAGTAGCTGTGGCTGAGACTGGTCTTTCGGTGGACACAGGAGAGGTGGAGTGAGGCCAGTGGAAGACGAGAGACTAAGAACCTGGCTAAGGACCGAGTCAGGCGGCGGCAGGGACGACTGCGGCTGCGGGTAGAAAAACAGTCGGGGCAGGGCAGGACCAGCAGCTCCAGCTCCTCCAGCACCAGCAGCACCAGCACCTCCAGCACCAGCAGCTCCAGTAGCACCTCCAGCACCTCCAGCACCTGCAGCACCACGAGCTCCGGCAGCGCCAGCGCCTCTAGCACCAGCAGTACCTCCAGCACCTCCACTGCCAGCAGCTCCCAGTAGCACCTCCAGCACCTCCAGCACCAGCAGCACCACCTGCTCCGGCAGCTCCAGCACCACTAGTACGAGCACCTCCAGGACCAGCAGCTCCAGCAGCTCCAGTACCTCCAGTACCAGCAGCTCCAGCACCTCCAGTACCTCTAGTACCTCCAACTCAAGCGCCTCCAGCACCAGGAGTACCTCCAGTACCTCCAGTGCCAGCAGCTCCAGTAGCACCTCCAGCACCTCCAGCACCAGCAGCACCACCTGCTTCGGAAGCTCCAGCACCTCTAGTACGAGCACCTCCAGGACCAGCAGCTCCAGTACCTCCAGCTCCAGCGCCTCCAGCACCAGCAGCACCAGCACCTCCAGTGCCAGCAGCTCCAGTAGCACCTCCAGCACGAGCAGCACCACCAGCTCCGGCAGCTCCAGTACCTCTAGTACGAGCACCTCCAGGACCAGCAGCTCCCGCAGCTCCAGCACCAGTAGTACCAGCACCTCCAGTGCCAGCAGCTCTAGTACCCCCAGCACCTCCAGCACCAGCAGCACCACCAGCTCCGGCAGCTCCAACACCTCCAGTACGAGCACCTCCAGGACCAGCAGCTCCAGCACCTCCAGTACCTCCAGCTCCAGCGCCTCCAGCACCAGCAGCACCTCCAGCACCTCCAGTGCCAGCAACTCCAGCACCTCCAGCACCAGCTGTACCTCCAGGACTAGTAGGTCCAGCACCTCCAGCACGTGTAGCACCTCCAGGACTAGTAGCTCCGGCACCTCCAGCACCAGCAGCACCTCCAGTACCTCCAGGACTAGCAGCTCCAGTACCTCCAGCACCAGCATCACCTCTAGTACCAGCAGTACCTCCAGGACTAGCAGCTCCAGCACCAGCAGGACCGTACCCTCCACCACCAGGACTGCCTCGCCGAACGATCCACGCACAAATCGCCTGCGGCGAGAGTGTCTCAAGTAGACCAGGCTGCGGTGGCTGTCCAGCTCCAAGACCTCCAGCAGAGTCACCCACAGCTCCACCGCCACTAGGACTCGCAGCACCCCCAGAGTCAGCACCCCCAGTCGCAGCACCCCCAGATCCAGCAACCCCAGTCGCAGCACCCCCAGTCGCAGCACCCCCAGAACCCTCACCCTCTGTCTAAGCACCCCCAGGCTCAGCACCAGCAGTCTCAGATCCAGAGTCCACAGCAACAGGCTGCGGAGGCGGCGAAGACGGCCGAGGCGGAAAACCAGGGGGGGTCTCCAAGCGTGGAGAGCGGCGAGTGGCCGCCATGTCGTCAGCGACGGGGTCACCCCCCTCAGCTGGGCCAGAGAAGTCAGAAGAGATCTCCAAAGGCTCAACCAAGGGGGGTGTGTCTACCTGAGACACACCTGAGGGAGCAGGACCCTATGGGGGGAGGGGGTCTACCGGGGGGGTGATTGGTACCAAGAAAAGAGGCGCTAGGGGGACCGGGCGGGACGCGTGCGGGTGTAGCCTGTAGAAACAGACAGACTCGTCAAATGTGACGTCCTGGGAGGAGAAGACTCGACGCGAGCGCGGGTGGTAGAACTGCCACGGCGGGGCGTCGGTGGGGAAGCCAAGGAAGACACAGCGGAGAGTGCGAGAGGAGAGCTTGCTCGCTTTGGCATCGCGAAAAAGGGAGAGCGCGCCCCAGACCCGAAACACCGACGCATTCTAAGGACGGAGTCTCGCTTTTTGATCTCACGTCTGGCGCCTCTGCTGCACCTGCTGCCGATGCTGACAGTACAGTTCGCTCGCAGTGGACTACTCGTGACGCTGTTGCTCGCCTTGCTGTTCGTAGTCACCTGCCTTCTGCTGAGCACGCGCAATTTGGTCAGTACAAGACTGCAAAGTCTTTGTATGACGCTGTCGTAGCACGCTACTCCTCCCCTGCCACTGCTACCCTCAGCCGCCTCATGCTACCGTACCTGTTCCCTGACCTGGCCGCCTTTGCCACAGTCGCTGACCTCATTACTCACCTCCGCACTAGTGACGCCCGCTACCGCGCTGCCCTTCCCTCCAAGTTCTGCGCCAAGAACCCCCCCCCCCATGTACATCACCCTCTTCTACCTAGTCACCCGTCTCCCTGACTCCCTTTGCTCAGTCAGGGACCACTTTCTCTCCCTTTGCCCCACCGAGCTCACCGTTGACCTGCTAGAGGAGCGCCTCACTGCAACTGAGAAGAGTATAGTTGCTGTAGGTGCTTCTCGCGGCGACCCTCGCGCCCCTTTCTTGGAGGGGTGTTCCCCCGTTCCCCTTTTGCCCTCTGTTGCTTCTGCTGCTGCTGTCGACCTTGTTGGCACCGAGGAGGTCGGGGCTGCGTCTGCTCCTAGTGGGAGGCACCGCTACGGCAAGGGCAAGGGGGGCAAGGATGGTGGAGGGGACGGCAGGGGCGGCGGTGGTGGCGGTGGAGGAGGCGGAGGGGGTGGGGGTGGAGGCAAGGGTGGTGGCGGGAGTGGGGGCGTCGGTGGTGGAGGTGGAGGAGGTGGAGGCAGCGGCGGCAGTGGTGGAGGCAGCGGCAGCGGCGGTGGAGGCGGCGGCAGTGGAGTTGGAGGTGGCGGCGGCGGTGGTGCTGGTCTGGGTGGAGCCGCGCAGCGTGGAGGCTTCGGCGGCAGCCACCGCCAGCAGCAGCCGCGTTCCCGTGAGACCCCGTCGCCCCAGCAGCTTCGTGAGTGGTACGCTGGGCGTGGGAGGTCTGGGGGTGCTGGTCCCTGCACTTACGTTCTCCGCACCGGCGGGCGCCGTGGGGAGACGTGCGGAGGGCCACACACGTCGCAGCGCTGTTTCGGTCGCCTATCTGACGCCTGGCGCGCGCAGTTTCCTGACGCTCCTGAGCTCCCTAGCTGGGCTAATCTGCTTAGGCAGAATGTTGATATCTTTGCTCTAGACTTAGATGCTATCCTTGCTGCCATGCATGCTGTGTCTACTAGTGCTGAGGGTGACTGTTACCTGTGTGTGCCGCCCGACCCAGGTATAGAGTCTACTGCTCTAGGTGCTGGTGAGGCTGCTGCTCTAGG